TTGAAGGATTTTAATATGTGTAAATATAATATGTGTTGAATAAACATTTGTCATTTCCGCACTTACATCTGATATGTTTACTATATGATTTGGACACCTGTAAAGTCCATTTAATCTCTGTGTAAAGTCCATTCTGTCACAAATCACATTCCACGCGGGGAAAACAATCTTATTTCTTTATTACATGACATAGAAAAAAAACAAATCACAACCAAAAAATACATGTTGTTCTCCCATCAATATTACATCTTACAAATAATGTATATACAATCAAGTATGGACTACAGAGTACTAATACTGCCCATTCAAAGCCTCCGATTACCTGCACAACCTGAACAAAGAAATGTATCTTAAAGCAATAAAGTGCTTTAAAATGCAACTGCATCGAACGCTCGCCCACGCGTAAACACTGGGGTGGCCCCGGCGGCCCACCAGGACAGAAGTCGGTGAGTAAGATATAATGGGAGAGGGCGTTACTCAGTCTGTGTTAAGTTGTCTGTTATAATATTCTTATTACATTTCTCTTTAGACTTGGAACATGGATGTGTCACTCCCGGAATTTAGTGTTACTCCATGGGTGAGTCAAATGTCAACTTTGTTTCTTAACCATGACTACTAGGAATCCATCTGCAAAGCTTAAAGTGTCCTTGTCCCTGTATTAACGTCACCCAGGGAAGCTTTTCCTGTAAAAGACGACTGCAAATCCCGCTCCTGCCACCTGCGCCACGGAACACCGCTCCATTTATGAGAAACATTCCTCGAACGCTGCTGGGAAATCAATGCTTCCAGGGGTGTTGGTCTCCCCTGTCCCCCGTAGTTTTGGCCGGTCCCTTCTGCTGACCTCTCCATCACTGCATTCTGTAATACGTGGAGGACAAAGGGAGGAGCCACTGAGAGCTGCCCGGGGACCCTTCAGACTTCTGCAGATGATTTCTCGGCATCGGAGTCCAGTGGCACGGGCAGCAGGAAAAGTAACTGTTCACAGACTTCTGAAAGCTTGTTCCTTGGGCTCCTGATCATATAGCTAAAGAAGTGTAGTGAGGGAGGGAAGTAGCATCTGCAGCCCCCAGGCATGCTGAGGTACTACAAGTTCCAGCACTCAACCCCCTTTAAATGCAACATCCCTTGAATTGAGTCTGTTGCAAGAATATGAATGAAATGTAGTCCTGTGTACATTGATTTAGATCATACATCATATCAATATATAAATGTGTAAAGCGGATCCTTGCCCTGCAAGGTGTACTGAGCACAATATACATATATTTAAAGGGAACACGTGAAAAGAAAACCTCATGGGTTACTGATGGCTGGGACATGTGGCATATAAACGGTAACTAGTAGTATACAAACAGGCCGCACTATCCAAAGGATTCCAATACTTCCGACTTCATGGAAATTCATAGCAAATCCCCTATAACAGTGTATAAAGCAGCAAATACCGGCGCCGCTGCCGCTATGAATAGGGGTGATACATGTGAGAGGTTGTAGCTGGTTGGGGGGTGTGCAGTGCTGGTATTTTCTGCTTTATACACTGTTATACTGGATTTGCTGTGATTTTCCATAAAGTTTGAAGTATTTGAATTCTCTGGATAGTGCCGCCTGTTCATATACTACGACATTCCAATGTGGAGACGCACCTATTAGACCAGCACCTGGGGAGTCCTGATGGCGGATAAGGAATCAGAGCGGTGAGATTTCCTTTGGCTCTATATAAAGGGTGACCGCTACACCTAGGCACTGGGGGGGGGGAATCCATTTTGTTGGCCCAGCACTTTTGATTCAAGTACATGGTACTAGTTAAAGGAAAATATACAACACCCCGGTATCCCCCCCCTTCACCCCCGCCAAAACTATCTCGGATGTGGATGGCCGCATCTTCTCTCAGGTTGGCACTGTACATGTTGTGCCACCTCCTGCTTTCCTGCAGCTCATTTCCCGAATCCTTGCATGTGCTCCAGCAAAGCCATACAGAATAGTGACCACCAGGGATATACAAAAACGTCTGGCCTGCGTCTGAGGTCTGGGATTCCTGTTACAGGATTGATGGGAGAATTTGTTATAACTAGTTTAAGGTTCCGCGCTGTGTAGTAGATGGAACTTGAAAGATGAAGCCAACATAACAATAACCTCCCCGGACTGCACGCTTGAGTACCAGCAGAAGTCATTGGATCACAAGGTTTAACATCTCGCGTGTTGCATCATCAGACAGAGGAACGGTTGCCATCATTTCATGGTGTCTATGGCTTGTAGGTGAATGAAACGGAGAAGCTCATTGGCCGTCATGGACGACACATACAGTCCTTCTTTCAGGCAGGAGACCCTTGTGAGATGAAGTCTGCAGACTTACAATGGTCCATGTGTAGCTTCAGCTTTATTTTATTGTCACTTGGTCAATTCCTCTATTAGTTTTACTGGCAAGCTGTGTGGCAAGCGTTGTGATTTCTACATGGATGCCATTGGCTTCACTAGAAACTCCGGCGTGATTCTAATGCAGTATAATGTCAATGTGAACAGTTATCCTGTCTCTGTATTGCAGTAACTTCTGTACCCCGCTGAGGACCGGTTGGCGTTGGTCACATGGCCTCTGTGGCAGGATATTGGGAGTATTGATATTCAAGGGAGAGCTGGCCAGTCATCACCTCGGCCTGAATGGTCTATCACCAGTCCGCCATCATCCTGCTAAAGGGGAGACCATGTGACTCATGCCAGAGGTGCATTGGAGGGGTAGACAAATCACCATATACAGTAAACTGCCGAGGTGTCGTATGTGTACATGGAGGCTGAATATCTACATGGAGTCATGAGGTTTGACTTTGTCCGCTGAACTTACAAATAACGGCTACAAATCATTCATGGGATTTGTAACTGCGCCAGGCCCCAGTTGCTGTATTTGTCTCCACAGCCTCCTGCCCAGAAGGAAGGTCTACACCAGGGGGAGGCAATCTCCACATTCTAGCTGTTGTGGAACTACAAGTCCCATGCAGCATCGCAAGACTCTTGCCAGCCATGGGCGCCCAGGGCCAGAGACTTAATGGGATATGTAGTTTCACCACAGATGGAGTGTCAAGGTTGCCTACTTCTGGTCTACACAGTACATTGTGCTGGCAGTTTTAACACAAAAAAACGTTTGCAACAATAATGCAGCAAGATGGTTCTTATGACCAACGTACGTCTGCTTCTTCTCTACATTGAGGTCTGCAGAGCATTGCACCTGCGATCAGTGTGCTGTGCACTTCCATTGTTCACCTCCAGCCCCAGGTCTGTATGGAGCCGCTGACCATCAGTTACGGGGGGGCTGGAGGAAGTGCAGCTGGACTACAATGCAGTGATGTCGCTGCCCTGCTGCCGCAGTGGCAGATGGGACTTCTAGTATCTGACATTGCTGTATCCCGGATGATGTGGCTGGCGGAGCTCA